TCTATTTATATTTTCCCTTAATTTGGTCATTCTAATTCACATAGTGATGGCACTGTGAGATCACTCCGCGGTTTAGCTTACCAAAGCCATTTGAACACAATTATGGTTAATGCAATTTCATTGGTACATATTGCGACCTGCACCTCCAACAAATGGGTCAGTATTCAGTCCATGATTATTATCGTGGAACCGTTGATTGGGTCCTTGTTGGACAGATTTGTCTTTGAGTATTATTGAAAAGGGAGAAACTTTTTGCTTTGTACTCCTCAGGGCAAACACAAAGGTGCTGAATTATAGTTATGACGACAGTTTATACTACAAGAGAACCAGGTGCCCATTGGTTGGCAAGTCAACTTTGATTGGGTGCTATAGAGAAAGCAATGTGGAACTATAGACACCTCCAAGCCTTTGATTAATACAAAAAAGGCGCAAGGCATGAATACATGCTTTTTGTTTGCGGAAAATGTGCTCCTGTGTATAAATGTACACCTTGACTAATTTAATTTCCTTAAATTTGTTGTTAATTGTCTTTGTGTCCGGCAAAAATCAACACATAATTCTTCATGTTCTGAGTGATTACGCATAACTGATTGACTAGCTTCATAGCGGTACGAGCACTCACTGGTACATTGATGTTGAACTATCCAGGATTCTCAAAGTCTGCATTCATCATTGCCAATACTTACCCTCTAACTGCTATCCAGTGCACCTACCTCCAATGAGGAAAGGTGTACACAAGGACTTGCCTCCTGCAGTCACTACCTCCTGCCTCATGTTGAGCTTGACATCATCCTCCAAAAACGAAAGTGAGTGACACTCAATTAGGGAATGTGTAAGTTTTGGACACAGATATTTTGGGTCCACATGAATTTGTAGATCTGTGGGGTTTTTTTTAAACCAGCATGTTTGCAGTTTCACAAAGCAGTTTCCTGTAATTGTACTTTTAGAACCTTCTGTAAATCGATACCTTGTATCTAAATTTTGATACACAAATGATGATTGCGGGAACTACGTTTAATTATTTAACAATTTCATTTTATATCTGGTTTACTTGGTTTAGTTTTGTTCAGAAATAGCATTCAATATTAATTACAATAAATGGTTACAATGATTTGAAAGTCCCAGTCCCAGAGAAAGGTATAAATTTATGACATTAAAACAACTGACAGTATCTCTTCTCTAAATAGGTAGAGATTGCTTCCTTCAAAAAACCTGAAACTCACTGGTTTCTGAAACCACCAAGAATATTTGGATTGCACTACAGATGTCTTCCAGTATTGATCTTGCCAAGTCAAGGAAGTGAATATCATTTATGTTTTCATTTAGTTTCACTTGCCTCTTTTGGCACCTGATCAGACCCTAACTCTGGTGCCTGTCCAACAATGGTTACCATGTCCCCAGAAATACTCAAGTACCCTTTTCTGGTCCTCAGGCAGTGTCTTTTTTTTTAGGCGATGGTAACAGGAAGGCACATAATTTGTCTGGGGCTGACCTGCACCACAATGGGCAAATCTATCTGGAAATTCTAGCACATGCCTGCCTTTGGTGTTTGACCCTGGCCTCATTGTGCTCATGCTGTCTGTTCCAATATTAAGATTCTGCTTTAAACAGAAGATTCTTTTCTTACAAGGCTTATTAGAATGTCCTAGAAGTAGAGGAGACTAAACAAAACCCAGGCTCCACCATTTTCCATTAGGTTCCACCACAACACCTGCCAAAGTTATGCTTTCAGCTCCTATAAAATTCGCAACAGCCTTAACTTATTTCACTGCTGCGGGTTTTCAAGATGTCACATTGAACATACCTTGTACTAACCAACCTGCTCTCCTATGACTGTGTCTTTGGGTTATGGATGCATTCTTTATCAGGGAAAACCAATCTAGTTTCAAGACAGCAGAGAGCAACGAACAAAAACAGAAGTTCTTGGAAAAGCTCAGCAGGTCTGGCAGCACCTGTGAAGAAAAAAATCAGAGTTACTGTTTCGGTGACCCTTCCTCAGAACTGTCTGAGCCGGAGGCAGTCACTGGGGAATATGATATAGCTGTGGAAACAAGTTTTAGCAAATACTTGGTCAAACACCAGGACTGACAATGAAATTAATGTTGGTGGACAGGTTCTGAGGGTCACCAGACCCGAAATGTTAACTCTGATTTTTTTCTTCATGGATGTTGCCAGACCTGCTGAGCTTTTCCAGCAACTTCTGTTTTTGTTCCTGATTTACAGCATCTGCAGTTCTTTCGGTTTTTATTTAGAGAGCAGCGAACCTTGTTTCTTGAGACTTTAAAGCATCTGGGAGTCTAGATAGGGCATAAGCAGCTTTCTTTTCCCAATGATGCATAAAACCATATGTTACATAGATATATTGAAGTGGGAGCTGGATACATAAATGAGGGAAGAAAAGAATATACGGTGGCTCAGTGGTTAGCACTGCTGCCTCACAGCGCCAGGGACTCGGGTTCAATTCCACCCTCAGGTGACTGTTTGTGTGGAGTTTGCACATTCTCCCCGTATCTGCGTGGGTTTCTTCTGGGTGCTCCGGTTTCCTCCCACTGTCCAAAGATGTGCAGGTTAGGCGGATTGGCCATGCTAAATTGCCCATAGTGTCCAGGGATATGCACCTTAGGTGGGTTATAAGGGGATGGGTCTGGGTGGGATGCTCCAAGGGTCGGTGTGGACTTGTTGGGCCGAAGGGCCTGTTTCCACACTGTAGGGATTCTATGATCTCTTCTATTCTATGATGACCAGGGAGCTAAATGAAACATGGCGACGGGAGGCTCTTTTGGAGAAACTGGAATTATTCCCCTCCAAACGATGAAGGGATAAGAGAAGACTTGACAAAAGTGCTTAACGTCATGAAGGATTAAAGGGTGGAATTTTCACACCTCTAGAGTGACATGGGCAATAGTGATTAATCTGAAAAATTCTCATTCCCGTTGTCAAGAAAATATCTGACTGACCCCTTGAAATTTAAATGGCTAGATGAGAATCTTGTTAGTAAGTGACAAGCACCTTGTTTCTGTGTATTTGCATCTTGTTATTTGCTAATCTCACCTTATTTATCTGTAGTTTGTGATTCCATCATGCTTTGTTGAGAAACCAGACAGCAGTAATTCCCAACTTTAAATTCAGAGCGGTTCCTTGGCAGATGCAGTTCACCACTTGCATCTGTGGCTTGAATCATAGGATCTCTATGGTGTAGAAACAGGCCATTCAAGTCCACACCAATGCTCCAGAGAGCATCCCACCCAGACCCAACCCCTTACCCTATTCTTGTAACCCTGCATTTCCAATGGCCAATCCACCTAACCTGCAAATCTTTGGACTGTGGGAGGAAACTGGAGCACCCAGAGGAAACCCCGCAGACATGGGGAGAATGTGCAAATGCCACACAGATAGTCGCCTGAGGGTGGAATCGAACCCATCCCTGGCACAGTGAGGCATCAGCGCTAACCACTGAGCCACCGTGCCACCCCGGGCCTCTCTGTGGAGGACCGTTCACCAGTGGCCCATTGCACACTCCATGGACACGGACTGTCTTCCCCGCTTTGTCCCCAGAGGTTGGCATTGGTAAGCACCAGCCTCATCGTACCATCACAGCTGACCTCAGACTGACTCATAATACATTTCAGAATTTCACCACTACATTTGTGAGCTCATTGACACCTTACATTGCAATGGTTCTTCACAGGGACACACACCCATCTTATGCAGCCGCACAGGAAGCATGTCATGGCTCTTAGCTTATTTTCTCACCCCTCACCCACTTTTTGTTTACTTGAACATTCACAGCATCTCTCTCAACTTGCCTTTTTGCGCATTTCCACTTCAGTGAGAACTTACAGGCTCGCAGCCTTGCTATCCTTTTTAGCACAGCCAGGCAGCTTGTCATGGTTGCCAGCACTGAACAGTCAACGGGGTGGATATGTTGATGTAAAACATCATGCTTCATCAATGTCACACCAGCAGCATGTGCCAACAACTTACCTGTCAAACACAGTGTGTGTGTGCTTCAGCCAAATGGTCATGTCTGAAAGTCAAAGGAGAACAGTCCTGAGTAGAGTAAAGAGGGCCTTCAGTCATTAAGAGATTGTTGCAAATCTCAGTCAAGGGCATTATCCAATCTCAGTCCAGGGATTGGCCAGGCAATTCGTACAACCAGGATCTGGAATCCATATCCATTCAGTCAGCAGCTGAGCCATAGTCAGTCCTGGGGGTTTAGCCAGTAATGTTAAGGGAGATTATCAAGGGGTAGTCCATGCAGTGTAATGGAAAGTGGGAAACTCAAGTCTGGGGTTTGAATGCATTATGCAGGGATGCAGTGGGGACAGTGACACTGAGGAGGTAAGGGGTGCAACTTCAAATATAAGGATGAGCTCTGATACAGCATAGAAGAAAAGAGGTACTGTGAGATGGGGGGACATCTACAAGTCAACACCACCTTAGCTTCAGTGGACGGACAGTAGATTTCAGTAGTGGGCATGGCAATGCAGTAAGCCAAGGACTGAGGGAAACATTTGGGATATTGACTGTTAAATAAAAGGGATGGATGGGAGCACGGGGAGAAGTGTGCAGTAATGAATGAGTAGGTTCACACACTAAATGGCCATAAGTGTGGAACATGTATGAAGCAAGGACCTATCATAAGGCGTTCACATTAATTTTAGTCAGTCTTCTTCTCATCAAAGTATTAAATCTTGGCTGCAGTCATAAATGTGAGAGTTGAAGGATGTGAGAAATTGATAGCTATCCAGGATGCTTTTCAGAGATGAGCAATCCCCTTCTAGTATAATTTCTATCCTCCTTGGAATGCACAAAAATCTGCTTAACTCTAACGATATAGCCACGTATTCAGGTGCTACAGCTACGTTGACATTCGATTGAACCTCTAACAATTGAAAGTGCATATATATTTACAGATATGGAGGTGTATTGACAGTGATGTCATCCGTGCCACCTATGTGCCCTCAGAGTGTTTGTTTTTGCCCTCCCACCATGTCTAGGTGCAGTCCTGGATTAGCCCTTGGAGTGGAGAGTGCCTGCTCTGCCGTAGACCCTACAGGCCTGGAAGATTTGATGGATGACCCTAGGTGTTTGTAGCTGGAGGGTGCAGACGTGCTGACAGTGTCCTGCCTAGCTGCTACATCACCTTCCTTGGCAGCGACTTTTAATAGGATTGGGGATTTCATACAAGGTGGAGGAGGGGTACCTCTGGTATAATCTGAGAGGAGACTTTAGCAGGGTCTGCTTGTTTATTAATTCTCCATCAGGTTGTCTCCTGGCATACCCTGTCTCCTTGTGAGGAGGGGACACATGGAGCGAGGTGAAGGTCCTTTGTCTCCTTCTTGCCTTGCTGCTGATGCTGTGCACGAATGGCTAAAACAGATCTATGTGCTTTTCTGACCCTGTGAACATTCTTCTGGAGCTGGCTATTTGGCATCTGGCATCCTACCCATGGAGATAGCTGACACACATATGCTGGAGCCAACACGGTGCTGATATTGGTGGACTCCACCAACTTTGGTTTCTCTTTACTGATTGTCTGTGACATAGCTGCTTGCTGCTCCTGTGCATTTCTAGGTCAAAGTCACTAACAGCGGACACTGTGGGGTCATCATCTGCCTGTGGCTTAGCATGTGACTGGCCTCTGGCGGTCCTCAGAGTGCAAGTTATACAGGCCATTTCTCCCTTCGACCAGCTGCAGAGACATATCAACAGTGTGCTCACCAGACTGTGCTGACGAGACTATTCCATCGAGGTGAAAGTCTCTGACCTGGAGGAGGATGCAGAAGAAGGCCTATCCTGTGCATCCTCTGAGGGACTTGCTTCTTCAGGGCAGCATCTGTGTATGTGCCACTGGTACCTGCATAAGAAAAGAGAGGCCATTCGTTACACAATATGTGTGTAAGCTTGAGCATTTTAAGAATAAGTTAACAATAGTGGTCATTGGGAGAGCAGTGGAGCACGCTGCATGAAACTTACTGGGTTGCCTTGAAACAGAATTCTTTGTAAGTCCACATAAATGGTCTCTGTCCTCACCACCCCTTCTCAAGGATCTTCTTGTAGGGGATGAGGAGCCAAATGTGAGCCAGCACCGCCCATGTCTTGCCTCTTTTGTGCAGTAGTTTCTCCTGCAGTGAGACAAAAAGAGGCATTGAGTGGGATGAAAGTGGATGAAAGAACTGTGAGTGGTGGTGCATGAGCAGCAGAGATGGTAAAGTGACCCCACTGAACGAGCAGGAAACAGAGAGGGGCAGGGAGGGGGAGTCATTTCACTGGATAAGAGCCATTGAGAGTTCTGCACCATTAACCTTGGTGATCTAACTGTGCAGTGGCAGAGTTAGAGTGATGTGAGGAAGGAGATGGTGACACACTCTTGCAGAAGATTGTTAACTTCTTTCAGCATGACTGTTCATTTCTCTTGATCCACGAAACAGCCCTGGCTGAGCTCCCGTCTGTATCTAGTTTGCCTCCGTCTGGTGCCGTGGCTTCCTTTGATAAACCACAAGTGCCTTTCTTTCTCTGAAGCAGGGTGCCAACTTCCCTTTCTGCAACATCTCAACCACAAAAACAATGGAGCAGTAGACTATGAAGGGCAGTTCCTGACTTGCAGCATTTGAAGTGGTGCACAACGGGGTTTAAATACGACACCCTTGGTCTGAATGCCAGAAGATCCAGGCAGTGGCTGTCGCTTCCACCTCTGCTGCTGCCTAATTGAATGAGAAGAGTGTGTGTGGAGCCCCGGGGCCTAATAAGTGAGGTGAACAGTGGAAGATTGGGTGAAAAAATGGCACTATGGGCCCTGATGGGAAACCCTCCATAAAAATCCCCAAAATAGCAGAGCCAAAAAGTGGGAAAATTCAGCCAAAGTGTTTCCAAAGGCTGAAGTATCAATAACCGGATGACACAGATTTAAGGTGATTGGTAAATTGACATGAGGAGAAACCATCTTACACAAAAGTAGTTAGGGTTCAGAATGCACTGCCAGACATGGTGATGGAATAGGATGAATAACTTTATCGAAGAATTGGATAAACCTTTGAAGGAGCAATAATTGCAGGGATATGAGGAGTAAAAGGGGTTGGATCTAACTGGATTGCTCTTCAAAAAAGTCTTTTGAAGACTCAGTGGGTCAGTGCCTTCTTGTATTGTGTTATACTGCAAACTCTAATAGAGTCATAGTCGTAGAGGTCTACAGCACAGAAAAAAAGCCCTTCAGCCTGTCAAAACTGCCCCAGTCAAAAACAACCACCTGACTAGTCTAATCCCATTTTCCAGCACATGGCCCATAACATTGTATGTCTTGGCATTCGCAAAAATGTATCTAAATACTACTTAAATGCACTGGTGGACCAGTCAAACTGAATGATCTGTTTCTATGCTGTGTTTTGTAGTTACAAAATTATATCAACCAATGCCAAGCTTGCTGTAACCCTTAAACAAAGCAGCTCCAGACATCATTATTGAAAATGATGCTAGAATTTATGAGCTAAATGCTAAGGGACTTTAGCTACAACTGTTGCCGTTCCTTACGTTGTGTTGCTGTACAAGCTACTACACAGAACATTTGGGATACAGAATTGAATGTAGTTCAAATGTCTGAAGGGCTTATCAGCAGAAGCCCTTCAGTCACTAGAATCTAATTAGGGTCAGACTGACTGAATACTGGGATAAATTAGAACTAAGCACAGAGAGAGAGTGTGTGTGTAAATCTTTTAGGGGTAAGTCAAGTTTACTGAAATCAGTTGGATCTTTTGAGATGGTAACTACTGCCAATAACTGATATTTACAGATGTTAATTATTTATGTTGAAAACTAACTATATTTGGATTGTTGCTCTAGCCATGCACCAGTTGGCATAGAATTCCAGATTGCAGAATTAAGCACATGGTTTAAAGAACGATTGAGAAGGGATTTCGATTCATGGGTTATTCGCACTAGTGCTGGAGAATGAGGGAGCTGTTCTGACAGGATGAGCTCCAAGTAAGTTAGACTGGGATCAGTGCAACTTGAAGGTGAGGTGTGGAGCTAAGCACATAAAAGATTTAGGGTAGTGTTTCCTGACATGGGAAAGACCTAAAATTTTGGGGCCACAAGCTCCAAGGAACTGTCAGACATCTCCTTCTGGAATGTACCTTTGTAAAGGAAGTCTGGAGAAAGATGCAGTGGTTTCTGTCGAGGTTCATCCAAGCAGCTTCGTGACACAGGACTCTGTGCTCTGTGGTCTATTTCCTGGGACGCACACTGAGACAAATATCGACTGCACCTAGAGGACCGTCAACTCAGTGAAAGATGTTCTTTGGTCTGCCTGAAACTTGGTCTTCCACAGCAAGGAGTTGACCCTGACCGAGTGTTACAGACTGGTACATTCCAAGCTCCAGAACTATGTGCTGAGGAACGTTCTAAAGCTTGGGGCAGCTGCTGCCAAAGTACAGTGGGGAAAGACCACTGTCTGAGGTCCTTCTGCCAAAGTTAAATTGGGATCCACTCAGTCATCGGACCTTCACGGTGTCTCAAATGCATGTAAATGTAGTCTTGTTCAAGTCTTTGGTTTGTAAGGATAGAGTCAAACTCGAATGTTTGCTTGTTTTCTTGATATCCTACTGGACAGGACCAAACTACATTTGTGACCAAGTATCAATAGGCTTTTTTTATGAATAAAGTATATTTTTAAAATAATAAAAAAAAGTTCCAAGGCAACAATGATTGTGGGGAGGTCGGACCAGGCTACAACATTTGTGCTCCTGTTCAAACAGGCCTTTGGTCTCAGAATTCTCGTTGAGGGATTGTAACAATTTTCTAGCACTGAAATTAGTCACAGTGGGGAAAAGGAGCAAATGCTGTACTTAGGAGTTCTCAGTAGTTCGATTTGGATAACGTTAACCATGACTGGATTTCTAGGATGACGAAAAAATTCCAAATTGGCCCAAAACGCAACAAATCCTGAAAACAGTCTTTGCATTATGAAGTAGGGCATTGTTTTCATTGCTATTGTGATTTTTTTCTTTGAAAATATTGTGATATTTTAAAGACTGTGTTGACTTTAAAGGTATGCATCTGGGAATGTCCGGCAGTGTCTTTTATTTAGGCTTTTGTCCATCAAGGTGAAAATAAGATAAAGTTTCGTGAAGGTGGTATAATCTGCAGGGTATGCATCAACAATCACTGTCTATTCCAATAGTCATGTGACAGTACAAAACTTGAGTATTGTTGAAAACAACATTTTGTTTAAGTTTTTGTCCTGCACTCATTATGGACAGTTCACGAAATGAAAGCAAAGGAAAAACAGTATTTGTTCTGTATATAGAGGAGAGTGCTGATTGTTTGGAATCTGGTACAGACATGCCATGGAGAATGCACTGTCTAATGATGACTGATAGTTAAATGCTAAGCCTCATTTAATTTTTACTCAATGACTCACCACCCCTGTTACAACACAAGTAGGTGACAGTCATACTGTCATTCATCGTTCAATGCAGTGCCTTGACTAAAGTCAACCTGTCCTGTTTAACAATTAAACAAAGCTTGACAGTCCCTTTTCAGCAACTGTTGCAACCTGCCTTTCAACCAGTTCCTGTTTGCAGAGCTGAAGACTTTCAGGCTCTAAGCCAAACGCAGTATTGAGCAAAGCAGCCACTACTTTCTTTTTGATTGCTGACAGTTCCTCTATTCATGGAGGCTGTTACCATGCAACTGAAGACCAAAATTACACATGACGTATGCCCACTTTCTGACCACATTAGATAAACTAAGCAATAAACTATTACCCTCTTAGAACAGCTGGTCTGCTGCTGGTAGCTGTTGTGCATCATCATGTTTCTAATACTCTGTAGTTTCCAGTTGCTTTCCATCTATTGCTGTTAATTTTCAGTTTTGAAATTTTCAATTGATCCAGCCTTAACAGCTTTTGATGACAGTAATTTTGGACTTATTATTCACTTTGTGAGAAGTATACTTCTGATTTCACATCTCGAAAGCTCTAGTTTTAAGACTGCTTTAAACTTTAAGCTTAAATTCTGGGCATACTAAATTCTGAGAGAAACTAAATCTTCACTCTCTCTACCATATTGATTCCCTTAATAATCTAAAACAATTAGATCGCCTTTTAAATTTTAAATAAGACAATTTTTTCCAATTTGCCCTCATAATTCAACTCTTTTCTAACCCCACTATCTTTCTGA